TCCCGTTAAGGATTAAGGAATATTTTGTCTTTATGTTGTCTCTAAACACTTTGATCTTATTCTCTGGTACAGAGGTTCTCTTAACGAAGATTACTCCCTTGAAGGAGGTGGTGGAAGTGATTGAAGGAGGAGATGCTATGGAAGAGTAGCTTTCACGTGCACAGTAACTGTGTGTATCAAGCTGAAAACTCGAATAGTGGGATCTCGGTGTGGTTTTTTTTGTATACTGATAGAACCTTGAATTGTTGCTTTTATTAGCCTCAAACGGTTTTCATGAGAAGGGTTAGGTGGGGGCTAGTTTTGCCTAAAATTTCATGTTCTTGTGTCACTGTTTTCCTCGTAACTTTAGCCCCAAGATCCTCGCCTGAACAAAATTCAAACAGCTTACTAGGCGGATGCCGGATCACCATTTGCTTTGGGAAACCTTTTAAGTGCGGATATGAATTCTGTTGCGTCGGTAGTATAGGTGAAAGTATCATGTGAGACGGGTATAAAAATTCCATGTCCTTGAAGTGGCGTTTCATATAGTTCCCGGGCCTTATTTATTATTTTCACATGGCATAATTACTATTGTCCAATGAGCGTTTTAGCACGGGAATATTCGCATCGAATATGCTTTGATGAGACGAACTAAATAAGATTCCCCCAGTAGAGCATCCTCAGCTAATAGCACTTGTCCCTTGTCAGCTTTACCTAGTGCTCTACTTGCCCTTCAATGCTTTCTCTTGCTCGTTCCCGCTGGTTTAGAAATGGCGCCGGTCATCACCTTTATGATTGTATTGCTGCTCGACCGTCAAGCTATATCCTCTGGGCCCGCGATGTTGGTGGTTAATGTGAAAAATCATTTTTCTAATCTGTCAAATTAGTTAACAAGTAGAAAGTCACATTATAATTCATAATTTAGAGAAAAATGTATTTAATTAGAGGCATAAAGTTCAAAATGTGCCACAAATGTCTCCAATTTTAGGGTAAAATTAATTTTCCGAAAGACTAGTTGTAAAATATTCTTACCGGTAAATAATTAAAATGAATACACACACGAGTAATTAAAATAATTTTATTTTTATCAGTCATTTCCAAGATTCTGACTTCTTGTAAATAAGAGCGATTAGGCTGATTAAATGTACCTCACTCACCTACCCCTATGTACTTAGCGAAGCTTGCATTCGACGTTACTCGCCTCGCCCGTCGTCTCTCGGCCATTTTTGAATAGTACAAATCTCGTCGTTGTCCTCCTTACTTCACACAGAGTTCACACTCCAACTGTCTCTCTCTCTCTCTCTCACAAATTTCGAACCCTCGCTTCGCTTCACGGCTTCCTTTCCTCCTGATGTCTTACGACTACCTCTTCAAGTATATCATTATCGGCGACACAGGTCTTCTTCTCTCTCCCTATTCCAATCCCTAGCTCTTTTTTTACTCTATAGGCTTCATAATTTGAATTGGTGTTTTCGGCTGTCTTATTTGGCGTGACTCAGGTGTTGGCAAATCATGCCTCCTCCTGCAGTTCACCGACAAGAGGTTCCAGCCGGTTCATGATCTCACTATTGGTGTTGAGTTCGGCGCTCGTTTGGTCACCATCGATGGCCGACCCATTAAGCTCCAGATTTGGGACACTGTAAGTCCATGCTGTTCTCCCCTCTCTGTTCTTTGGGTATCTGAATTGATGTCAAATTAAATCGAGAATAAGTGCCAATGCCTAACATGAACCCTGGGGCTTGTTGGCTTATCGTTTCTGAACTTCACGTAGTTCCGTGTTGTTGTTTGTTTTGTTTTTTTTTTTTGGGGGGGGGGGCTAATTTTTTGCTGGTCTTGGTTGCAATATGGAAAATAATGTCTGGCCTTTCTTTAAATGAAGAGGAGTGGGGACACTACTAGTTGAAAGCTGCATCCATAGAGTATATCATCGAGTTTGTGATCATTCGCCAAATTCCTAATCTTGGTAAAGCCACGTGTTGAGTGCCATGAGATAATTTGAACTTCAGTGGACTTTCCGAGTTTGCAATTTAGATGAACAATTTTAAGATTGCATGATTTTTCTGGTTGAACCTTCTTGAGCAGGCGTCTCATAAACTAATATCTGCCCCATACTTTGGTTTTTTTTTTTTTTTTTTGGTTCGATCTTTATCTGCGGTGCTGCCTTCTTTTCCTTTTCCTTTTCCTTTTCCTTTTTTTCCCCCGGGATACGTTTGGAAACACATGACTTTTTGCTTTTGTGTATTCTGAATATAATTAAAATCACCAAGGCATTGCTCCAGGCCTGTCGAGTTTCTCTTCTCTTATCGAGTGTATTCAACAGGTGTTAGATAGTGATGCGAGGGCCTGCAGGGGGACCATACCTGAGGCTGCGTGCTATTCTTAGTTTCTTTTAGTTGTTAGCCTTTATTATTATATAAAAAAATCATCAAGGCATTACGCCTCGTGCTTTTTTTTTTTTTTTTTGGGGGGGGGGGGGGGAGATCCGATGAGAGCATCTTAATGTGATTGACCAGTTTTAGCTATATAGTCCCATATGACGCGAGCTTCTCTAATAATCATAACCTGAATGATACTAAAATTCAGGCGGTTCAACTGCATTTTTACGATCGCCATGCAAAATTTTATTTAGTTCTCTACTTAGTATAGGTTTCTGGAAATTGTGATCTGATATGTTTTGAGTGAACCAGTTACAAATTGCTTGCAAACAAATCATTCACACCTGTGCAGGGTGACAGTTCGATTTTTTTGGTTCTGTTGGGATAGCTACATTAATTAAGTCTAACACGTTGTGTAGGTATGAATGGTGTAACCTGAAATGATTTGTGACTACTTCAATTTATGTATTTTCATGTGCTGAAGAAGAACGTCTTGTTAAACTGTAGGCCGGGCAAGAATCATTTAGATCCATCACTAGATCTTATTACAGAGGAGCAGCAGGAGCACTCCTAGTTTATGACATCACAAGGTTGGTTGTTGCTATTGTCACTTGAATTGCAGGCGTTCTCTCCATGCAGGCCAGTAATGCCATACTCATCACCGTCCCATACACTCCTATGTTGGGCGTTTTCCTCTTTGGAATTACTAACGGACTGCAGATTCTTCATTGCATATAATAGAAGTGAAATGCAGTGAAAATGTGCACACAGACTTTTGGCAGATGACCAAAGCTTTATTATTGCCTTTCCATTTGTTATTGTTGATTCTCCTGTTCGAAATATCTTTTTCACTGAATCTAGAACACGGTGCCTTGGGCTGGTTATGCTTCTATTTAGTCTAACTAAGATTATACTTTCAAATTGGGTTGGTTGTGCTCAAGCACCTGTGATTTCAACTTGCCTTTTTTGGTCTTCCGTATTCATGACATCCAGAGTACACTTTTATTCTATTCACAAAAACATATGCAAATCACTAGGTCCATTTTGTGGGATATATTTGAGGCTTTCATTTTCCATGTTTTTGTTTTCCCCTCTTATATTGCCTCCAACTAAGAACCACAGGGCTTTTCTGTTGACCAGGAGAGAGACATTCAATCATTTAGCAAGTTGGCTGGAAGATGCTCGGCAGCATGCCAGTCCTACCATGACTATCACGCTCATAGGGAACAAGGGTGATCTGTCTCACCGAAGGGCTGTGAGCAAAGAGGAGGGGGAGCAATTTGCAAAGGAAAATGGGCTTTTATTCTTGGAGACTTCTGCAAGGACAGCCCAACATGTTGAAGAGGTGATATAATTTTGTTTCCAAGTGCCATGGAGCCTCAAGAATATTGGACTCTTTTTCCCCTTTAGTGTAAAATGTAACTTAAAAAGCATATTCTGCAGGCTTTTATAAAAACTGCTGCTAAGATTCTTCAGAAAATTCAGGAAGGTGTCTTTGATGTCTCCAACGAGGTAATTATCAACAGTCAGTTTGATGTGCTTAAGTTGTAGGAGTTTATGAGTTGGGATAATAAGCTGGACCGTTGACTATTTGAGATAACGGGTCCAGCGTGGGATTGGTGTTTCGCGTTATAAATCTTAATCACAATATGAAACATTAGATGCATTGCGCTAGTGCTGGTTTTCCTGGAGGAATGGTCCTGGATGATTTCCGGCCGAATGGCCTTGTGAGTTGTGACTAATATTATATTAATATTAATAATGAGTAATAATTCTATTACTGCAGTCATCTGGCATAAAGGTTGGCTATGGACGTCCTCAGGGTCCGTCAGGCGCTAGAGATGGAACAGTCAGTCATTCAGGTGGCTGTTGCAACTGACTGGGAGGAAACATTCACTTGACTGCGTCCTTTTGTACATCCTTTTCTCCCATTCTCTGCCATCCACTGTATAGATCCTATCTCAACAGTAATACTGGGACAGTTTTGACTCCCATATTTGCTTGACTGTAACATTAGGTGGAGACCATCGTGAATTGATATCTGTTCAATGCCCGCATTTTTACTTGCTTCTGTCGCTCCAGTATTACTTACCACCTTTTTTCTATGCTCACTATTTTTTTTTTTAATAATATCTGAATTTTCTAAGTTAAATAAGGTTGGCTGCACGGCTCCCTCCTTTCTTTCCTTCTGTCCAAACTTTTTCGCTCCACAATTTCCCCGCACAATCAAAATTGTGGGTTTTCAAGTCCTTGTAAAATACTTGTCAGTGTTCTGTTTTAAAAAAGAAAACTCATTTAATCACATTATCATTTATAAAATGTCTTCCTTGTTTTTTTTTTTGGGCCAACGACATTTGTAAAATGTTATATTTTTCATAAACTACGTGTATTGTAACTCGTTTTAAATTCCATGCGAAATACATGACTCTTTATTTAATTATATTTTAGCATGAAATGTATAAAATCTTAAAAAATGATAAGCCAATTCATTTTAAAAAAGAGAACAGAATCAATCATAACAATGAATTATGTATTAATTTAAAACATAAAATTTTAATAAATTACTCTATTTGCGCATTATAAAAAAATCAACGCTCATTCTTGAAGTTAATGTAGGAAAAAAATGACAGAGCCCACTCGATTTCAAATAAAAAAAAAAAATGGACAGAGCAAGCGTTGTCTCGAATAGAAAGAACAACTATGGATAAGGGCCAACGTTGCATAGTACAAACTAATTGAATTCGCAAGTTGAATAAAATTGGGAAGGCGATTGGAATGCTTTGTGCTTATTGAAGCAGTTGTATATACAAGGTACTTAAAAAATGATTAAATGAGGACCAATATTTTAATGGTGCAGATCGATATCTAAATGAAAAAAAAAATACTCCTCCGGTCCTTAATATAGGATTCATTTAACTAATTTGATTAAATTAAAGAAGTTAGGTAAGTTAGTTAATTATAAAAATTGTGACACGTTTTTTCTAAAATACCATAATTATCTTTTTTAATACCCCTCTCTATCTTCTACTTGATTATGGTTGATGGAATATCCATAGAGGTAATTTAGAGAAAATTGATAAATATAATAAATAGTTCTTATATTTAAAACTAAAACCAACTCAGAAATTGAGTCCTATATGAATATAGTTCTTATATGTTTTTGGGGCATATGCCGTGACCACCTTTCATCTTAATCTCGAGTGCATATGGCGTGTTGAATCCAATTACGTCAGAAACAAAAACTCTGCATATGGAATTGCACAGCTAGCGTGTATTGGTTGGATTTGGAGGCTTCGATCAGTAAGCTTGTTTGCTCCAGATTCTCCTTCATTCCGATTCATAATCACTTTTCGACGTGATTTTATCAGAAGTCTGAAGTACGGAATTCCTTTTTAAAGTTGGCATTCGTCAGAATTACACTTCTCAGTTCCTGAAACAATGGCGACTCGCATGATCCTCGGAGCTATCAGGAAACGCGCCGTTTTGTTGTCTGCCTCCCATTTTCTGTCTCTCTCATCCGTTTCGACTTCTAGATATGTAAGTTCTCTCCCAGAATAAGAATCTTTCAATTTATCTCTCTCTGTCTCCATCTGTTTGTAACTCTATTCTTCAAATTTAATTTAGGTTAGTACGCTGGTTATAGCGGAGCACGAAGGTGGTGCTGTCAAAGCTCCTTCTATCAGCGCGGTTGCGGCTGCCAAGTCCTTAAGTGATGATGCTTCAATTTCTGTGCTTTTGGCTGGTTCGGGTCCTTCCCTTCACGAAGCTGCTTCGCATGCTGCTTCATGTCACCCTTCAATCTCTCAGGCAAATCCCTTTGTTTTTCTTAAAATTAATTTTACCCTGAAATATCTTGTGTAGGATTTTGATATTTTTGAAAGGTGAATACTGAATAGTGAATACCATTTGTTGGATATTACTAATTTGTTACTGGTGTGTATTTTGATAGAGAAAATATCACTTGTCTCCAAAAAGATATAGGAAGTAAAAAAAAAAAAAAGCTTTGGGATTTTGATGTTTGGTGCATGCTATTTGTTTAGGTGCTTGTGGCTGATTCAGATAAATTCAAGAACCCTCTAGCGGAGCCCTGGGCTAAATTAGTTCATTTAGCTCAGCAGAGTGGTGGTTACTCGCATATTATTGCTGCCTCAAACTCATTTGGGAAAAATGTAGTGCCACGGGCAGCGGCTCTTTTAGATGTTTCTCCAATCACTGATGTTATCGGAATTTCTGAGTCTCATACTTTTGTGAGGTGCATTTTGTTCTATCTTCATTCTGTTTGATAGAAGAAAGTAACCGTTTACCGCACAAGTTGATGCTGCCCGCCTACCATTAATTGGAGCGAGCTTGATACTTACTTGGCTCAGAATCATTATCTATTGTAACATACAACTTAGTCTTAGTTGATATTATCATGCTCTTGTTTGCTCTTATAACAAGGTCCTGCACCCCCCCTCTAATTTTTGGTTTTTATGCTGTTCTGATGAGGGAGCCAATACTGCCTATTCTGGCTTTTTCTTTCATAATTTATGTTATGGATTTATGATTGATCTCTCATCTTCTGGGGCCAAAAAAAAAAAAAAAGAACTCAGCTCTCTATTGCTTTATGTAAAATTGATGAGACTGATCTGTGGGGAATATTTATAATGATAAAAAGTTTAAGGTATGACAGATACAATATTGATGTCATCCTTTAGTTGAGTCATTCCCCTTGAATCTGCTTTTTTCTTAATCATGTCCAATAAAAATGTTAGTTTCTTCATCTGACCGATAATAAAGTTTTGATATCATATTGCAGGCCTATATATGCTGGAAATGCGCTTTCAACTGTCCGATACACTGGTGCTAACCCTTGTATATTGACAATTAGACCTACTTCTTTTCCAGTTTCCCAGAAAACAGTTGATTCAAAACCTAGCCAGGCTTCAATATCTCAGGTTGACCTTTCAACCTTTGATGAAGGTCAGTTTTTGTTTCTGATGCACAGAAATTTTTGGTTTTATGTTGATAAGAAAATAGACAAGGATATAAAATTTGAAATGAACTTGTCCAATAGTTGTTAATTGACTGCTGAACGTTGTTGGAGACTCGAAAGAGCTTGTCCAATATTATGGATGATCTTCTTGGTCATTTTCATCTCTTGAATCAATTTTAACATGTCAGATATTTGAACTTATACCAAAAGGTTAGTTATTTTATTTTTTATTTTTACAGATCTTGGCAAGTCTAGATACATATCTCACACATCTCAGGATTCAGAGAGACCAGATCTTGGGAATGCACGTGTTGTTGTTACTGGTGGTCGTGCATTGAAAAGTGCTGAGAACTTTAAAATGCTTGAAAAGCTAGCTAACAAGCTTGGCGCTGCTGGTATTTGCTCTGGATGAAATTGTGATAGTGCTTCTTATATAGAGCGTTTTGTTCTCTCTTGTCACTGCATTATAGTGCACATGAATATGTTAGAAGCAGTTAAAAATTTTCGTTATTGTCAACTATAAATTCTATTATTTGTTTTCTGAAAGTCTAATCACTTCATTTTCTTTTTGCTTAGTTGGGGCCACACGCGCTGCTGTTGATGCTGGGTTTGTTCCCAATGATCTCCAGGTGACGATTTACTTTCCTTTGGAATTAAAATTATATTCCTCGCCCTATACACAATCACATACAAACAAGCCGGGGGAGAATGGGGGAAAGAAGTTTTTTTTCTAGGCTATAGCTTGACAAACTTTTTCTGAGAATACTAATGGCAATATTGCTGGGTGGAAAGGGTAAATTTTTTGAAAGCTAAGACAACAGCAACACATTAGTTAAAAATCAATTGGTCTAGAAGTACAGTGAGCACATGAAAGTGAAACATAAATCCTCAAATATTATCAATCTCAATCTTCAATAAATTAATTTATAACAAATTATACTGTTCCTAGATTACGAATATCGCACCTTGCCGGATGATGTTTTGTTTGATCAAGGATCTGATAGGCTTTTGACATCCTCTTAAGCTGCATATAGTAATTCATCGAGCTAACAAGTGATCTCATGCTTGTTTGCTTCTGTTATTTTGATATATATAGGTTGGGCAAACTGGAAAGATTGTTGCCCCAGAGCTCTATATGGCGTTTGGAGTGTCAGGAGCTATTCAGCACTTGGCAGGGATGAGAGATTCCAAGGTCATCGTTGCTGTAAACAAAGATGGTGATGCTCCTATATTTCAGGTAATAGCTCTCGTTTTACTGGTAAAAGCTGTACAAGTAAATGCAGACTCTCATCTGGTCCAAAAAGAAAGGGTAAATTAGGCGGCTTCTTTATTTATCCCTATCTAAGCTACTCCTCCGGTCCTTATTATAAGACCCAATTTGACTTTTTATTTGGTCCTAATTATAAGACCCAATCCATTTTCTCTCTTATATTTATACATTTTTTTCCAAGATAATCCTTCTAATAATGATAGTTTTAGCCAATATACTTAATTAGCAAGGATATTTTAGGAATAACAACACTTATTTATTATAAATAACCAACTTAACTTACTTCCTTAATCTCCTCAAATAAGTCAATTGGGTCTTATAATTAGGACCGGAGGAGTATCTTAATGTTTATTCTTGAGACAGAATAAACTTGTGCAGACGTGGATGATCTCATGGTTATCTTTATCTTGTTTCTGCTTGAGCTTGACATTTTAATATGTTATTGCTTATTGTAGGTTGCTGATTATGGACTAGTCGGAGATCTGTTTGAAGTGATCCCAGAGTTACTAGAAAAGCTTCCTGAGAAAAAATAATTCAATAATCTGCATTCCTTCATTTCTACGATCAAGATGTATCCTTGGAACTCTGTACTCATTGACAAAATGAAAAAAATGGGTAGATGCTAGTTGTGCTGTGGCAGTCATTTTAAGCAATATAAGACTTCTTCAACTATCCAGCAGTAGAAATCATGAGCACAGAAAAATATCTTTTTAAAGCTAATTTTACACCTAAAAAATAATCACAACTATTATAAATTGTGGTTGAACATGCTACAAATGACTCATATCAGGGACCATTCCTTATGCCAAGAGTATCTGGAATATGTTAATCATGGTTTCTTTTTTTGCCAGAATAATCATGGATTTATATAACGTAATTCTTCTTGGGTTGTCAAAATCTTGTTGCTCTATGAATGAGGTGTTTAATGTATGAAACAGTTCTCCAATGGAAGCCTAAGGCTCAGTTGATGAAAGGTCAATCAGGGCTGCGTGAGGATTCGAATTTCCCTTTCTCGTTATGTGACATCCATCATTGATTGCCCATGCATATTGATTAAATTAATTCCCTATGCATTTGTGAAAATCTGGAAAGTGAGAATGACACAAAAATATGGTCTCGGATTCACACTTTTTATTCCAATGCATCGTACATGTTAGCGGCAGTAGGGTAATTAAATTAAACTAAATTAGATTCAAATGAACTGAAAAATAATTCTCCGGATATAAAATATATTTTATATTTTTTTAATAAAAATAATTATTAAAGATATAAAAAGTATCAAATATTTAATTTTTTCATGCAATGAAACAAATTATTTAGCTTAACGCACCGAAACAAAGTTTAATTAAAGGGTTAAGGTGTATTTAACATTTTAAAATATCTTTTTAAGTGTATCCAGCAAACTAAAGTATTTTGTATGGCGTTCAACACATTACAATATTTTTTTAAATATGTTTAACGCCTTAAAATATTTTTGATACATCTAGCATTTTAAAATATTTTTTTGTTATAGTTTGTACTAAAGCAAAAACAAAATTTTAAAGTGTTGGATGTATCGAAAAAATATTTTAAGATGTTAGATATATCATAAAATAATTTAGGGTGGTGCTAAATACATTGGAGAAAATATTTCAGGCACCCTAACCCTTAATTAAAAGCAGCATCCAACGTTTGACGAACATATGAGGCAGATTTCAGAAGATAGATTACACCCTCTAACTTCATCGAAAATTCGAAAAAGTTAAAAAGAAGTATCATATGATAGGCTCTTATAATTCCGCCTGTAATTTCACTTTGTCTATACGTATCAGAATAAATAGATGGATAAATATAATGAAGGATTGGTCCCACTAATTAGCTTATTTGTATGATCCATCACATGAAAAAGAATATACATGCATCAACTTCAACAACCACCCGCCCCCTTTACTAGTATTGTCATGTTCCCATCTAAGCCTTCGACTCCATTAATTCTCTCTCTCTCACAAAATTCTCATCATCTTCACCGTCTCTTTCATCTCTTCCTAACCTTATCTCTACTCTTCACTTAATCAGTGGATCACGAAAAATTCAGCTAGTGAACTATTTACACTTTCATGCTCCCTCACGCGGTGAGATTCAACCAGAGATTGGCTGTTTCTCTGCAGTGAGATGCAGGAAGTTACCATACAACAAAATATCAGATTGAGAATTCAGCTAGCTCAATCCCCATCAATGGCCTTCATTAGTTTTCAAGTGTATATATCAAATACCCAACTCGGCCTTTTACTAGATTTGTGCAATTGCTATGTATGTGAGACCTTTGAAACTTTGAGGTATCTTCCACATATTCTCAAGTGAAGTTACATTTTTCGGGAGAAATATATAAAAAGATGACAGAAAGAGAAAAACAAAGCATTAGCTTGATTGCATTGACTTATTCTATGTATGATTGATCGAAGAGTTCATACCAAAGCATGCCAAAAGGAGAGAAACTAACAAGAGTCAGGCTACTTTTGAGAGGGTTATTTCCCTCTCAAGGTAGGCCAATGATGTGGGATTGACCTGCATGAACAAGTAGTTGCCAGCAAATAAATCGCCGAAATGAACTTGACCTTCCTTCAATCTCTTCATCACTTTAGCGCATGATCTTCTCATGGCAGACACCATCATGGCTTTCTTCCTCCACAGTCTCCTCAAGCTTGGAACTTTGAGCCTAAACCTCCTCCTAATAGGAATCCTTCTGAATCTGAACCATTTATTCTTCGGCCTCACAACCACTCTCTCTCTAACCTCACCATCAACCCCAGTTTCTGAAGGTCTGAGTCTCTGGTAACGGAATTTGCCAGCAGAAGCCATCTCAATCAAAGACATGATTAAGAATCTCCCCTGGGAGAGAAAATTTGACTCTATGAACCGTTGCCGTTCCTTCCTGATCTGAGAAATGGTAGGACGGGTAAAAAAGAGAGAAGAAAGATGATATTTAAGGTTCGAAGAAACTGTGGTTGAGTGCATTAAATGGAAGAGAGAAAGGTGGCCACACAACGTTGGTGGGAACGGTGGCATCACATTTAATGATATTTGTGGGCTTTACATTAAGTAGAAAAGACGTTTATGAAGCACTTAACTTCTCGCACATGGTTGGCAATGCAATCTCTTAATTTTGTGAGGAGAGTTATCATTTAATTCCGAACTAAACTGTCCACAATGATGGATACACAGTTCCAAGGTCAGATCCATTTGTTAGGTCCTGCGCGTAAATCAAGTTCAGACTACATTTATTATATTCATCTGTTTAATTTTACATTGAAAACCATCAAAACTATATATGTAAAATCGAACGTGTAGTAAGATTAATAATTTCACGTGAATTCTTACTGATCTACTTAAATTAATCAACTAGTTCTTATATTAAAGACTAGAAGTAGTACAAACAGAAGAAAACGACGTAACAGAAGCAATTGCGTGTTCTATCGTTTTCTCTTTTGTCGTCCTCAAACTTGCACTGTCTTGTTTATATGTATTGAAGATTTACTTTCCACCGTCACGAAATTTACCAGATTTCACGACTTCTGGAATTAGAACTTGGTGATCACACATGAAGTTTGCTAACAGAAGTCACCAGCAACGTAAGGACTCGCATAAATATTCTTCCTTAAAACATCTATATCTTGCGACGTTATCCAACATGCCCATCGTTGAAGATATATATATATATCAGTATCTAGGAGTCTATTGTACAAAACGATATTATAGAGGTTCACTGCAATTATTCGGATTCATTAACTGCATCAGAGCTTTGAAATGACAAGGTAAAAGGGACAATGAAACAAATTAAGCAACTAGACCAAAGTCAGAACTGCCACTTCTGCTTTAATGCTCAAGTAAACTTGTTTGTTTCATTTGATATTGTCAAAGGATGTTACAGGGAAAAGCTGCTTTAATTTCCGCTGATGCTAGAGAAGCATACCCAAATACAGATTAAAGTTATATGCCGGTATTTAATCTGCTGTACCAATCATAACTTACAAATATATATGATAAATTTTATATTATGGAATAGATGGGTTGGCTGATCATTATATAAAAAGAGAAAAAATAAAGAATATTTTCTTATAAAAGGTAAATATGTTGTTTTAATAACATGAAAGGAAGCAAGCACGGATGCACTGCTACTTTCATTATTTTGTATGGGTTGGAAGGTAGGCCCTTCATCAAACAAAGCGCGTAAAAGCCATATTTCTTTTTACATCTGGATCCAGCTTTCTAGCTTTTTACCACACCATATGGGGCACTTCTTGTTTTATTTAAAAACATTGAACAAACTATGGTGAGTATAGTCTACTTAATTAGCCATATATTCAGGGGGGGTCCCAAAATTTTTCTTGTCCTTCCACTTCAATGTTAGGGGATATCGCAAACGCGGACTGCAATACTACATATTACCAAATTCTTCACTAAAATTCTAAAATGATACTCTTGGCCCGTTCTATATTTTCACCTAGAAAATTTAAAAATAGCAAACTGGATTCACGCTACAAAACTGAACTCACATGGTTTTTCCCTTCTGAGTTTCTGCTCCACAGCAGATAACATCGAGAGAGTTGTTCCTAACCCAAACTTCTACGACTCTTCTTTTCTGGGTATCTCCAAATTTACTCCTTTTGGTCTCTATAAATAAATAAACAAACGAGCACTATGTTCAGCCCGAGATGGTGCGCTAAAGCTAACCCAGTAGTGAAAATGGGGAGGGCAAAACCAGTGCACAGTGGGTTTTTCTTGATGACGACATGGCTTGTAGTTATATCTGCCGTGAGTGTAGAGCTCAAAGACTCGCCTGCTTGCTCTTTCCCAGCAATCTACAACTTTGGCGACTCCAATTCTGACACAGGCGGGATATCGGCCGCCTTTGTGCCAATCTCTGGGCCATACGGCGAAGGCTTCTTTCGTAAGCCTGCAGGGAGAGACAGTGACGGCCGTCTCATCGTAGATTTCATAGGTCTCTTCTTCCTTTGCTTTTCTCCAGGTGACTGAATCATTTTCTGCCTGCTAATTCTGTTTAGTATGATGCAGCTGAAAGACTGAACCTGCCATATCTGAGCGCTTATCTGAATTCTCTTGGAACCAATTATCGTCACGGCGCCAATTTTGCCACGGGAGGATCAACGATCAGAAGGCAAAACGAAACCATCTTCGAATATGGAATAAGCCCTTTCTCACTTGACATTCAGATTGTGCAGTTCGATCAGTTCAAAGCACGTGCTACCCAACTCTACCAACAAGGTGAACCAATACAGAGTGATAATTATGCTAATTTGAATAATATCTGTCAAAGAGTGTATTCCTGTCCTCATTTCATTTATAGTTTTGGACTGTAAATCCTATAGGCTTCAGACTTTTTCAGAGTTTACCCAGATGTCTACGAAGCATATGATTTCACAATATTAAATCGTATGAAAGTAAACAACTATTGTCATGCACAATACATTTCCTCGTCATTGAATTAGTGTTTCCTGAAATTTAGCCAATACCTCAATGGAGAGAAGCAAGCTTCCGGTCCCGGAGGAATTTTCCAAGGCTTTATACACATTTGACATTGGTCAAAACGACCTGTCGGTTGGCTTCAGAAAGCTGAACACCGATCAACTTCGTGCAGCCATCCCAGATATTGTCAATCAGTTGGCCTCTGCTGTTCAAGTAAGTAGAAGGGATAATGCTTTCTTACTCAGAGAAATGAGTATCTGAACCCTGTAAAAGAATGTAAATAGTTCGTTGCTAATTAATTGAAATGGAAATGATGAATAAGATGCTTTCAGAATTTATACCAACAAGAAGGGAGGGCATTCTGGATACACAACACAGGTCCTATTGGGTGCTTGCCTGTGAACCTATTTTACAAGCATAATCTACCACCTGGCTATCTTGATCAGTATGGCTGTGTGAAGGACCAAAACGACATGGCTATAGAGTTCAACAAGCAGCTTAAAGACAGAGTGATCAAGCTCAGGACGGAGCTCCCCGAGGCTGCAATTACGTATGTGGATGTCTATGCTGCAAAATATGGACTAATCAGCAACGCCAAGACTGAAGGTAGGTGCCTATCCTGATAAATCTATATTGTAGGATGTTTTCTACATAAATTGCATATTTTTATCATCTGTTTCATTTTTCAAATATTTTGACAGGATTTACGGATCCACTGAAGATTTGTTGTGGATATCACGTAAACGACACCCATATCTGGTGTGGGACAAAAGGAACTGCAAATGGAAAAGAAGTGTATGGTGCTTCTTGTGAAAACCCTTCGTTATATGTCAGCTGGGATGGGGTTCATTACGCTGAGGCTGCTAACCATTGGGTTGCTAATCACATACTCAATGGCTCTTTGTCGGACCCACCGATTCCAATCACCCAAGCTTGTTACAGGCATTAATAACAGAACGTGTCAGAACTATATATCAACCTGGGGATTCTTATGGGATGTCATATTACACATTGACCAGACGAATGAATTATAGTTATGTGATATCTTGTGATATTGGAGTTTCTTTTATTCGAAAATGCTGTGTGCGATCGTTTACCCTTTGCTCGTTCCCATCCTCTTTACTCCTTCGCTTAAAAATATTGAACCTATTCTGTAATGTAGTTTCCATGATAGTACAAACGAGACAGGCCATGACTAAATGCATTTCCAGTTCCAAAACAAGTCATTGTTGCAAGTGAATATATTACAACCAGACTAAAAGACACCAAGGGTTGAGAAGCATTGTACAAGAGCTTCAAGTAGCTTATTTACATTAAGGCAATACAACTACTCTATTTTCTTTGTTAAAGAAAAAAATTACAATATTTCAGCATCAGTACAAGAGTATACAATATGCGAAAGAAGTCAGCGCTTCGTGCAATAAATATGTGGCGCGCTGATTTTGAAGTTTGGCAAACACCTAAAGCAAACTAAGAAATAAACGGACGAATTCCTATATAACTTCCATATATGCATGCTAAGATACAAAAACATAGTACCCCCACTGCGCACTCGAGTAAAGACAACTGCACACACCACGACAAACACTAGAACTTGCATAGCGGATTAGCAATCCAATTTTGACAGTTTCCATCACCACTCCGACAAACTTTGTGTACAAATTTGTAGAAATGATTGAAAAACACGAAATCTTTGCACTACCTGATAAATCCAGGGGTTGTCATTAACGTATGATGATGAAATCGTCAATGAAAATGAAATGGTTGGTTCAGCGTGGTGCACTCAATATATTTTTATTCAATTGAAAAATAACATACAAATCTTCAAATCAAAAATGGATCAAGAGCCTGGCATTTCTTGTGTGAGTAAATTTCACCATCTAAACGTAATCCCCCATGCTCTTACTGCGAACAACCAAGTATCGTTTTCAAAAAAGAAGAGTAAATGACAATTTTTCCCCCTCATCTGATCCATGCGAATGTCACTGTCTAATGTTTCGTAAATCTCAATTATATATTTAAAAACGCAGTACGATATGATACCAGAAGAAAATTGCACTTCAAAACTGATTTTACTCACCAAAATAGTTGGCATAAATTTACAATACAATCATTCGATTATAGACTGGATGACTCCAGCGCCCACAGTCTTTCCACCTTCTCTGATTGCAAATCTCATTCCTTTTTCACAGGCTACCGGAAAAATCAGCTCTACAACCATCTTTACACGGTCTCCGGGCATAACCATCTTAGACTCTTCATCCTTATCATTCATGATTTTAGAGACCTTCCCAGTAACATCAGTAGTCCTCATGTAGAATTGAGGCCGGTATCCAGCAAAAAATGGTGAGTGCCTACCTCCCTCCTCCTTTCTCAGCACATACACAATAGCAATGAACTTCGTATGGGGCGTGATGGCGCCGGGTTTGGCAATAACCATTCCCCTTTGAACGTCTGTTTTCTGAATGCCCCTGAGTAAA